GCATAATCATGATGGAAGTTGCCATTAGAAGATGGTGAACTGCGGCCATGAAGGGATGAACATGGTCAGCAACAATACTCAGGCAGACTGTGACATTCAAATGATGATTGATTGGTATTAAAGCCCAAAGTTACACCATTACACCAAAACACCAGCCTGGACTGTTGACACAAGGCGGGTTGGGTCCGTGGATTCATGCTGTTGATGCCAAATTCTGACCCGACCATCTGCTTCCATTCCTGTTCTTCGTTGACTTTGCTGACAGGAAGTGGAACCTGACGTGGTCTTCTGCTGTTGTAGCCCATCTACCTCAAGATTGGATGTGTTGTTCATTCTGAGAAGCTCTCCTGCTCACCACAGTTGTAAAGAGTGGTTATTAGAGTTACTGTAGCTTTTCCGTCAACTCCAACCAGACCATTCTCCTCCGACCTCTCTCATCAACAAAACCCTACGGACTGCTGTGTGTGAGAAAATGGAGCTTAATTTAAATTGAAACTCCAACCTGCCTTTAACACAGGAAGGAAGTTTAGGGTCTTTGGGCTCGCCATTAGGTCGTTAACGCTGCGTCGAGGGAGAGGGCAGGGACAGGCGTGCTGGGGCGCCAATTACTTCGAGAGGTCGCAATGGGGTCACCGCCACTTTATACAGCACTAAACTGCAGCGGGAAAAGGTCGCAAGGGTTGGGTATAGCATATTCATACCGACAGCTGTGACAAATTTGTATTTACTGTGACATTTGTGCATGTGTACGTGACTGTTGGTGCCAGTGTGTGTGTGTGTGTGTGTGTGTGTGTGTGTGTGTGTGTGTAAGACTGACTTTTAATTCATGAAGTGTGACCTTAAAACCTCTGCATACACCATTCACATACCTTTCTTTCTCTGTCTCCAACACATGCAACAATAACAGTATGTGCAGTGCTGACAGCCCTCACAGGTACAGTTAACATTTGAACACAAACCATTACACAATCTTCTCCCATCCTGCAGGGCCCATACTGTCATAAAAGACACAATATCTTTCCATAGAGACAAATCCACGCACATCATCTTGGTGGCAGCGCTCCCAGCACTGCTACAGGCTCCGCACAATTCTTCTCCCGCTCCCCCGTCTACACTCAGGATCCTTCTATGAGTAGCGCTCTGAGCCTGTCACGCCCACACACTTAATGAATTCAAACACAAAAGGGTTCAGAAATGGGATAAACAAATGTGGAAAATCACTTCATCTCCGTCATCTCTGGTCTGGTTTGACAGTACTGAACCTGAGGTAGGTGCTAGGTGAACTGACTGGTGAAATGATGAATCGAATGCATCTCCCCCTTTACAAATGAGAGCGATTGGCCTTGAGTGAGCACTGTGATCAAAAGGTCAGACTCTGAGTCAAGCTCCACAGGTCCAGCTGTCGTTACTAATTACACTGCCTGACCTGATGACCTGTCGCGCAGCTGCTATAAAAACCACTGTGGTACTGTACTGCTGATTCGGAAATGGAACTATCGTGGCATTTTGAAAAGTCAACGCTGTTTTATTATGCATGTTCCAATTTTAGTAGTTGAAGATAAAACAAATAGATTTTGTCCAGTTTGTGCTATCTGGGCTCCGCATCATATTAATCACCTAAGTCAACCTGTTGCCTCAAACTGCATTTTGCAAATTGACATTCAGTCTTTCTAAATTAATTAAAAATCCAAAGTAAAAAAAAAAAAAAAAAAAAAAATTATAATATAATATAAATAAAATTGCTTTTTCATCCTGGCTAATGAGAAATGATTTAAACTAACATCTTGACATTTTGGTGACATTTTGCTAATAGTTACAGGAAATAAGAACATTAATGACAATCTCATGTGTGTGTATGAAGCCAGAGGCAGGAGATGATTAGCTTTACCTTAGCTACAATTATGGATTGTGAATACATTTTGTGAGCCAAAAACAGTGTGTTCAGTTGCTCTGTGTGAGGCTTACATTCAGGCTTTAAATCATGTTGTGTGTCCCTGCTTCGCTCTTCAGGCAGCGGAGAAAGGCTTCCTACTGCCCCTCAGATAAATTCAATTTAAAGAACAACTTTCGTGCACAAAATGTTCTGGACAAATAAAGTGATTCTACTTGTACATACAGAAGCACCAAGCTCTTTCCTCAACACTGCCGAAGCTCTGATGGATGAAGAGAAAATGATTTTCGAATATTTTGACTTGTCAGAGAGCACGAATCAGTAATATGAGTCATGACTTTTTCATTGCAGAGAAAACGTTACCAGATATGAATACAGATCTCCAGAATAAACAGTCTGCGAAGAAAGCAGCAGCAACACCTGGCAGCATTTAGTGTAACTAAATGATATTTTCTGCCAAGAAACATTCTGTTTGAGGAACGATTTCTTCCCCAAAACTGCGGCACAGTTCAGTAAAGACTCCTTGAACCAAATATCGTCTGAAATGTGAGGAGCAGATAAGCAGAGAGGCTCTGTGGGAAAAGGAAATAAGACTGTAAAGTGGTAGGAGAGAGCGGGAGGTATTACAACAAGCTGGTGCTGATTGAGAGTGAAAACCTCTTCCCCACAGACAACATCACCTTTGGAAAATACACACTGTACATATAGATGAACATATACTTTTCTATCTAGCTATAGTTATGTAGGAAACAATAAAGTTCCTGAGAGATCAGATAGAGAAAACTACTGTGAGTAGTTTGAATACAATTTCAGTTTTATTTGATGCTTGGGACACAGCATTACATACTCACAGTCACATCTACAGAGGGGTTACTGGTTAAATATGTCTTCACCTCAATTAGAAACTAATGAGAATCTTTGTGATAGAAGAGATAAAGTGATCTGGACAGGTTGAGTAATAACACGTCAAATATCTTGTAATGTTATTCAAAGGATCTTGTAATTTCTCATTCTAACGAGAAACTGAGCTGATTTTTGTTGTCATGGTGACAGCAACACAATGCCAGCTGAAAAATTATTTTATTTTTATTATGCCTCCGCGCCGGTGACAGTCAGATCTGGCGGCATATGGTTTTCGGGTTGTCCGTCTGTCTGTCCCACGATATCTCAGTTACGCCTTGATTAACTAGGACTCAAGGATGAAGTGTTTAGATTTTGGTGGTCAAAGGTCAAAGGTCAAGATAGTGGCGACCTCACAAAACGTGGTTCTGGCCTTGTGAATACAATATCTCCATAATGCCTTGAGGGAATTTCTTTAAAAATTTGTACCAACGTTCAGTGTGACCTCACAAATCACTTTTTAGCCATTACTCAAGACTTCACACAGCAATTATGACAAAATTTCACATAAATGCTTAATATTTTATATGACTCTGGATAAACAAGGCTGTAACCTGAAATTAGTCTGAGTGGCAGAGGCAGACTAATTATAGTTGAAAATGGGAGCAGTTCTTTAGCTGAAGCACGTCTCCTAATTGATGCTATGTGTGTGTATAGAGGCCTGACTGGACTGACCCTTTCAGCACACAAGCCTTTAATGAAGCCCTAATTAAGAGTCCCACTGGGATCTGAGAGCGTGCTGATTAATAGCTCCTTAACTGCCCATAGTGCTCTTTAGTGGAAAACTCAAAAAGACTCATTATGATTAGCAGAGAAAGAATGAGCTGTTGTTGCTCTGAAGATTTAAAGGCTGTCACACTGTTATCATTCAGCATTGTGGTTACGCTTTCAAAAGGCATCCAAACATCCAAACCGAGAGGAATACTGAGTGAAAAAGTTTCGTAGATGTTTAATATGATATCAAGATTCCTCTAGATGTGTTTGAGTCATCCATATCATACACGCAAAAAAAAAAAAAAAAAAACTTCAAAGGAAAGAGGCGCTACAACCTCAAAGAGCTGAGGGATGTTCTGAGAGTCTTTGGTTTGTCCAGAAACAGAACCGCATCAACTGAGCAACTCCAGCTGCCACATCTGTCCACCCACGCTCATCACATCTATAAATTATCATAAAAATCATAAACGTTTCAACTGTTTAACTAATAGGTTTTGGTTATTGATTATGTTACATTATATACATTATAATTTCAGAATAGATTACCTGAGGAAAATAGTCTTTTCCTGCCTGTAACGGAAGAAGCCGAAGCCTGACGCCACACACAGCTGATGATTTACTGCGCCATGAGACTATCTCAACCGTGTCATAGACCCAGCTTTGTCTCCGCAACACGGATCTACAGTGAGACTGTAACCAAGGTTACAACCGCACCCACCCCCACCAATATTAAAGTGTTGGTAAAAACAATTATGCTATTCACAGTCTTCACTTGTTCGGTTTAAGTAATAGGTTAGGTAATATCTGTCTGGAGAGGAAAGAGAGCGAAGGCTGCGTGGTCATTACAGTTACCGAGGTTCAACATCTGGGGAGGATGAATGTGCCGAGCAAATTTCATGACATTCTTCCTGTTAGCATTTGATATTGAAGTGTAACTGGAAATTTTGGCCTGATGGTGTTGCCAGATGAAAGGTAAGGAGGTTGTATTCATCCTCATGGGACCATGATTATCACTTGGTGAGTTAGGTAGCACCAAAGCATTGCTTACGATGACATTTTAACTTGATGGTGTCCTCTGATAAAAGGTTAGAGAGTTAGGAATCCTTGGACATCAACTTTTAAGGACCATGAATATCTATATCAAATAGCTGTTGGGTATCTTACTCTGGACCAAAGGGAGGGAATTGGATAATCACTGTGAACAGATCTACCCCATTTCCAATAAAATAAGAGGTTTGCAGACCTTTCCAAGCCGGCTCATAATTATTTAACAAAAAATGCTGAATGCTGAATGCTGAAAACTGCCACTGTACCTTTTCTTGATGCAAGCATAGTGTTTTTATTTGAACCTGCGGGATGTTAGTAGCTCTAACAATTCTTCCCGTTCTTCAAAATGAAGCATATGAGAGCTGACAAGCATCAGGAGGCAACGGAGTTCATGGGAAACGTGGTCTTGGATACTTTTTTAAGCTGCTTGTCACTTTCTTGCTCTTACCTGCAGTGAGAAGATGCAGTGCAGGCAGAGGGCAACCATCACGACAGCCAGCAGCACAGTGGCCACGTTGCGTACGTCACCCAGCGCCTCCACCAGGGGAATGCTGCCCACCTGCCAGTCATAGCACAGCACGATGGGGGCCAGCAGCAGCCAGGCATTAAATGACAGCAGGTACGAGTAGGTCAAAACCCTGGGGGCAGGAGGAAGAGGGAAAAGGATAGATGGTAGAAAAAAATGGAGGAGAAGGAGGAGGCAAGAGCAGAAGAGAGAAAAGAAAGAAGATTTTGAGTCACACAATGATGATATATTAATTATATATATAAAATCATCCTGTTCATCTCGAGACTTAAAATGTTTGGCAGTGAGGACAAAGGAAATATGCGGTTGTCCAAAGCTGAATACTGATCCGGAGTAATTCTCTAACCCGACATTTAGAGCCCAGTCACAGAGTGTGCTGAATGCTAAAAGCCTGTCGTGCTGATGCTGCTTTGGCTTTTGCTGTGTTTGCTTTGCTGGGGTAGTCTTTTTTTTTTTTTTTTTTTCCCTTTCTCTACATTTCTCTTAGTGGGTTTGAGACCTGCGTGGCTGTCTGGAATATTGATCTGCACCGCACCGTGGCAGGTATCTGCTTCTATTAAAAACAGCCAGGACAGCGTCAGATGGAGACACACTTGGTCGGGTCCTAACAAGGACAAGAGGGGTCAGAGGAGGCGGAAAAACGAGGAATGAGGAAAGGGCAGAAAGAGCCACAGAGCATGGATGATGTGGGCAACATACACACACACAAACACACACACACACACACACGCACACACTGGATTTATGTCTCTCGGGGGTGTGCGGTAATTTATACATTACTTGTGCTGGTCAATGAATTTAATCCTGTGTGGAGTATATATATGTGTTTTTTTTTTTTTTTTTCCCCCCACCCCAGTTATAATTACAGCCACAATTGCCGACTGTTTTTCAGCAAACTCACTGGTCCTCCTGTAAATCAAGTCCCATCCAGAGCAACATCCTTGTATTTGAAGCTTTTTCCATGGAGAGAGCTGCTGTCACTCCACTTTATTCTTTTTAATCAGCTTACTGTGAAGTGTGACTTTTGTTTAAAGGTCCCATATTGTATTAAGGTAGATTTCAATGTGTTGTTTGCTTATAAAGCAGGTCTAGGTTCTATATTAACACTATGAAAGTATCAAAGCGCTCAGTCCACAGAGAAATGCACACAGCCTGTATTCAGAAACTAAGCCTTAAAATGAGCCGTCAGGACTTTGTGATGTCACAGCAAAGCAGTCACTGCTCTCAGCCATGCCCTAAGCCCCGTCCACCTGGACCCACCATCCAACCTTGCAGGATTTTGTTTCTCTGAGTGTTTACCTGAAATCTGCTATATTTTCACTCAATCACTCAGAAAACAGTCAGCCAATCAGAGGAAATGCTCAGATCCTCCTCTCTTCTGATTGGCTCACGGAGCCGTTATTACTAGAGCTCCAGAGAGAAGCCTGAGAGAGGAGGTGTAAAACTACATTGAGATGGTTTTTAGTTCTTAAAACCACCAATATATCTTCTTATGGATAAACACTTCAAATAAAACACAGGAGAAGTGTAAAATGCGGGACCTTTAAAAATGGAGAAAACAGGGTTGCAAAAGAGTTTATATTTAGTTTAACACCAGCATATAGGCCTATTTGGGAACCACTATAACAATGGAAAAGAATTAAAGTCATCATGAAAGTGAGACCCCATAAAAGCTTATCCAATGGCAACTCTGTCATCTGGAAATTATCTTGACATACAACTAATTTGCAACAGCAAATATCTTTTGAAGAAAATGTTTGCTAATCAGGTGGCGTTTTCTATTAATATGAAGAAAGCTTGTTTATCAATGAATCAGGTAAGGTGCAAATGTTGATATCAGTAAAATGTTCAATGATGGATTGAATTTGTTTTTCACCAGAATACCTGATGTTGCAGAACAACATCCACTTGTAGTGACTCCAGCAGTATTAAACTGTCTGGTGGTTCTGTTCAGACTCTCACAGCACTTAATTTCAGGTTTGGGAAAGATCCTGGTCTGGTTTAATACAGAAAAAGTTCACAGTGACTTCACACGCAACATATTTACTTACATTTAACCAAAACCACCATCTTTCCCCTATCATTAACCAAAGAGCTGTTGTTGCCTAAACCACAGACAACAGACGTAGCCCAGGCAAAGTAGCTGGTATGGGCCTCTCCAGGGAGCAACTGTGAATGTCGGTCCATGGACCCCATGTCAATAAGTTTGACATCAAAGAATAAAGATAAGGGTCAAAGGTCATCGACAGGGAGGAGGAGATTCACTTCTGATGCCAAAAACCATCGTTGAACAGACACAGGTTACCATCTTCCCTAAGTTATGACCACCTGTTATCACCTGACCAAAGCGGTGGTTAAAGGCTCTGAAAAGGTGGTTTGTTAAATTATCATTCCTTTCCCGCAACTGACTTTCTGCAAATCTGAGCACCTCTCTGAGTTGATTCCCCACTCTGACTCCACCAAAACAAGGTTACCACACAAAAGGCTTAAGCCCTCATTGATTCTGACAGAGGCCGCGTAGCACTGAATTCTGAGCGGTCGTGCTGTGACGCAGGTTAGGCATCGATTTCCTCCAGGACGAGCTCAACGTGGCAGCGAAGCCACCTGCTGACGGGGCAGGAGGTGGGGAACACGGGCCAAATCCCCTCTGAACACGGCAATGAAAACGTGTTATTAAGACTTAAAGAAACCAACGCTGGTCCTCCCTCTTCCTCCTCCCTTTGTTCTCCTGACTTGTGTTCAGATTGGCTATGAAAGACACACGGCACACAAAGTCTGAAATAAACACAGGCACGCAAAGACCTGCAGAGGACTTTCAGAGGTTGTCATAAGCGCTCTCTCTCTCTCTCTCTCTCTCTCTCTCTCTCTCACACACACACACACACACATCTACAGAGACTCACACACAGGAGAAGAAACAGGAGGGTAGAAGGAAAATAGTGGTGAGGGATCAGGGAGCAGGAAGAGAAAATGAGTCATTTGTCAGGTGGTGTGTGGGCGTTCTGCTCTCCTGGGACTGGACTGATGGGAAAGGGATCTGGGTGTCAGGTGTGACCGGAGCCCTCACAGCTGTTCTATACCTTCTCACACACACACACACACACTTCTACACAACAAGGAGCCGCACATTGCAAACACGTCAAATAACTGAACAGGTTGAAGAAAGACAGTCACGCGAATCATTCACAGTGTTTTTTCCACTGAAAAAACTGGTTCAGTCTTACTAATAAAATGTTAGACTTTATATTTGAGCACATCCCTGTGCAATATAACTGCAATGTTAAATGATTCAAAATTACACCATCTTACAACAATCATATTGTTGTCAAGTGTTGCCTCAGGCCAAAATTCAATGTCTACAGTCCAGCCCAAATATTTTATTTTATATTTTTGTCCTGATATTATGAAAGTGTAAGGTAACAGGTTAGATAGACCACATTGAAAATACAGGCCCTGAAGTCCAACCTTAATACAACTAAAGTTTAACTGTGATTACTGCAAAAAAAAAAGAAAAAAAAAGAAAAAAAAGGATCACACCTGTGATTTCCAGTTTAGGCTAACTGCACGAACAAGGTTTTAAAAGAAGCCGTGAACACTGCAGCTTCCTCAGTTCTGTCTAATAAGAATAAGAAACCAGAGTGTGAGACTTCACAAAGGTGGAGAGGGAACAAGAGCATCAGTAGGGCTACTGAACAGAAGCTGGAGCACAGCTGCAGCAGTGGTGAGGAGGTACAAGAAGAGCCATACTACTACTAACAGAAGGAGCAGTGGTGACGCCACACACAGTTGACTATTTACACAACCTTGGGTAGAAAAACAGACGGGTAAGAGCTTCTGACTTGGCACAAGCGAGATTAAACTTCGCCAGAGAACATGAAAAGACATCTGCTGTATGTTGGCAGCACTTTCTTTGGTCAGATGAAACCATAATAAGTTTGTTCGAATCAGATGTGGTCCAGCATGTTTGGTGTGGACCTGACCAGGCCGACCACAGTGACGGTATAGTGCTGACACCGAGACATGGAGGCAGGAGGGTGCGGATATGGGGCTGCATGAGTGGAAAAGGTGGAGGAGAGGTGACATTCATATAAATATGTTACTGCAAAATGTCTGAGTCCAACAGGGAACCTTTGGAGCACTTTAAAGCAAAATGCAGTGCGACAAATCCACCAGCAAAGATCAGCTGTGATGAAGCTGAACATCTCTCCACAGCTCTGTGTCAGATTGGTATCATCCATCACCAGGAGGATCGAATTTGTCATCAAAAATAAAGCTGAACATACAAAATATTTTTTTAAAAATCAAAGAATGGAATCTCATGCAGTTTAATATGGATCTTTCATTATGGTTTAATCAAACATTTCTGTTTTTTAAATTCACTGGCTTCAATCGTCGCTGGCGATGGCTGATAACACTGGGAGTGTATTGGAGTGGAACACAATTTCTCGATTACTTAACATTTTAGTGATATTGACCGGGGGTGTACTCGGTTTTGTTGTGTACTATAGACACAAACACATTGATCACTCAGGTGGTCGTGATCTGCATGATAAAGAGTCGACCGAACTCTCAGGCTGGACCAATCGGAGCAGAGCTGGATAACACTGTCTAATTATCCTGTACAGGGGATAAAGAGTTATAAACTGGACATGAGACTTCTATTTCCTGCTGTTGGGTTGAGATGATGAACCAAACCAGGAGGCTTTGTTGCACGTTATCCACTTCTTCCTCCGGACTGTTGCTCGACTATGTGCCTTCAATTAAATGCAAAAACATCTTCAAGGAAATAATATCTAAATGATGTTGTGTTGCAATTTGTCGATTTCATAAATGTGTTTCATCTCGTCACCTCCAGCATGGTAAACAAATTCAGAGACAAATACTATTTGTCACACACATGCCATCACACACGTGGCTCTATAGACAGTGTGTGTGTGGTGTGTGTGTGTGTGGTGTGTGTGTTTGATGCATCTGATGGCTGCAGTTCAAACTGCAGTGGATGATGAGGATGAAATGTGACACAGCAACCACATCAAGTACAGTTACTGTAATCCATCATGCCGAACCTGTCTTCACACACACACACACACACACACACACACACACACACACACACACACACACACACACACACTCACACTAACGACAGAAAAGACACACAGAAACTGACATAAAGGAAGAGAGTGAGACTTGAGGGGTTCTATAAATTGATTTATCTCTTTCTCTTTCTCTTCACACACACACACACACACACACACACACACGCGCGTATAAACAGAGCAGAGTAATGGCAGTCAGGATGCTGCTGTGATGAGTTATAAATGGAGTGGCAGAGAGACACTAACATGATGAATTATCACCTCTACCTCCCATATGAAAGTGGAATGCATAAATACACTGTAACACACACACACACACACACACACACACACACACACACACACACACACACACACACACACACTGAGGTCAGGGCTCCCTCTCACAGTGACTCAGTGCAACAATATTCAAGGTTTAACTTTCCCAGGACGGAGCAGGATGGATGGAGCCAGGACAGACAAAAAGACAGACATTGAGACAGACAGACAGACAGACAGTGAGACAGACAGAGAAAGAGACAGTGAGACAGACAGACAGTGAGACAGACAGAAAAAGAGACAGTGAGACAGAGACAGACAGACGGAGAAAGAGACATTGAGACAGACAGTGAGACAGACAGTAAGACAGACAGACAGACAGACAGACAGTGAGACAGAGACAGACAGACGGAGAAAGAGACATTGAGACAGACAGACATTGAGACAGACAGTGAGACAGACAGACAGACAGACAGTGAGACAGAGACAGACAGTGAGAGACAGACAGACAGACAGTGAGACAGACAGACAGACAGACAGACAGACAGACACACACACAGACAGGTGGTTAAGAACAGTGGAGGCTCAGCTCAACATCAGGGAGCAGAAATAATGAGATGAGAAAATGAAGGTGAGAAGGAAGGACAGACAGGATATGTGAATCCGCTGTAAATTTCCCAGGTGGCCGAGGGAGAGGAGAGCTATTTTTCACTTGTGCCATGCTAATGACAGATTATATACTGACTCACTGACAACGACAAACACCGACACCGCTGGGAGGACCGCCAGACCACGCTACTGTTGCTGGCACCCACAATCCCTCATACTAACTCATTTCTAACCCCCACTGACTCATTACTAGCTCCAGTGCAGCTCAGCATTAACTCCTTCCTCTGCCAACACGGTGAACGCTCATCTTATGGTTGGTTTGCAGAGTCAGAGGCACAACATTACCTCTCAGGTACAAGTTTGTAATATTGGAACAACAAAAACTAAAATAAACCATGATAGAAAAACCTGTAATCACATTTTCTTAATGTCATATAACAAGAAATTAAACCTGTTTCTTCCTGTAGGAAAAGTTGAATCTGTATAATTTGCAATGTTACTGCAACAGGTACAAAATACCAGCCTTTGAAAAAATCCACTAATCAAATCATTGTTTCAGCTTTTGTGTTAATTGCTGATTATAGTAATAATGATGGCTATTTTTATTAGTTTCCATCAACCTTGTTTGTAATTTGTAAAGTGAAAATTCCACCACAAATGAACAATTATGATTCCTATTACTTTGGTAATATTCACAGAAACGATATCAACACAGAAATATGAATCTGTGCGATTAGATTTCATAATAATTTATATAATTTTGCATTCTGCTTCCATCTTAACGCCAAGTCCTGAAGGCAGAATAATCACTGTAGGTATGCGCTGATAGGAAAATGCCATAAAATGTTTCCATTTTATAGTGTTTATTGCGACAGAAGTTATTTTCCTTTTTACAGAGAAAGTCCAATAATTCTGTGCCTCTAGTGTGTGTGTGTGTGTGTGTGTGTGTGTGTGTGTGTGTATGAGACACCGACCTGGTAAGCAGGTGAGGCGAGAAGGAGGCGGGGTTGTCCTGTTCAGAAAAGAGAGGCATGGATCCTCCCATCAGCCACAGCCTGACCGACATGATGATCACCACCTGGAGGAGGGAGGAATGAGGAGGCGGGGGGGTGGGGGGGCATTTCAGCATAAAGTCTTGTATGTAATTAGGTGAACAGGACAACACATGAATGTACCAATGAGTAAAAGTCTTTTATCTTACCTTTATTATTCATTATTTAAGTGACAATATAGTGACAGATAAAGATCTACAATTGTAATTTATATCATACTTAAATTAAATAAAACCAACTGCTCCCTGGATGGAAGGAAAACCATGTTTATCAATCTAAAAAATCTGTTTCACTTATTCAGTAATGTCACAGTCGGTAGACAAACAATTGACCAAAATGTGCAGATATTTTTCATGATATTGATATTTTTCAGTGTAGAAAAAAAAACCAAACAAAAGTACTCACATAGCAGAAGATGATGCAAGCTCGTTTGATGAAAGGGCTGCAGATGTAGAGGATGTCCCTGAGTCTGGAGCCGGACAGGTGACTGAGGGACACACAGACAAGACAGGAGGTCAGTCAGACTGCTCTTTATCTGAGGATGATTTCAGGTTCTGATGCACACTGTGTACGATAGGCAGCTGACTGCTTATGACTCACCGCAACCGGCCGCAATGAGAGCAAGCTGAATGATGGGGCAGCAGCGTCCTGATCAGTGGACGGACAGTATGGAGCACACAGTCTGTGCTAAGTGAACATCAGCTCACACAACCTCAACCACAACCTTTTTGAAACTAACAGTGTGAAATACTGTCGAGGCAGTGGTTCTTTGAGGGAAAAGTACGCTACAAAGTGAGACTATTGCTACAAAGGCAGCAGTGAATGCCAATTAGCGGTGCTGCTGTAAAAGAGGCATGGTTTTTAGTACTTTGATAAGGGAGTTTCAAAGCTAACTGAGCTCCAAAAAGAGGCCAAACTGGAGCATAAGTCAAAGCAAAAAAGCTAAAGTACTAAATTTGTCGAGGTGAACAGGGTGGGAAAAACCAGAGAAAAAACATGCAGACAGAAAAAGCTGCAAAAAGGGACATGGGTCAGAAGCTGAAGCTAACGAGCAGGGAGAGGACAGAAGGACACAGTACACTGTGGGTGGAGAAATGCAGACGATATGATGATCCTCTGCTGCAGTGTCTGAAATAGATTTTTTTTTATGTGCCTGCGCTGGCGACAGCCCGAGGCATTATGTTTTCAGATTGTCTGTCTGTCAGCTGTCCATCATCTGTCTCCTGGATCTGACTCCAGGATGAACTGATTGGATTTTGGTGGTAAAAGGTCAGAGGTAATGGTGACCTCACGTCCTTGTGAACATGATGTATCAGAAACGCAGAGAGGGAATTTCATTACATCCGGCACAAATGGTTGTGAGGTTGTGACCATATTTCTTGGAACTTGATTCGGTTAGCGGAGGAATACAACCGTGAGAAGGTAATTCTAGTTCTATAAGTATCTTGTTTCTTTAAGTGTTGTTTATGAGTGTTTACTAAGAAAACTGCATCTTCAACTGTATCTGAATTCTTGACCGTAACAGAGGCTTATTAATATCAAAACTATTGAGCACTTTAAGCTGTAATCAGTGTGAAAGTCCTGATTTAAGAGTGAACAGACGATATTTTGATTCAGTTCTAAAGCTTCTGTTTCCTGGGACACCCTGGCCTAAAGGGTCTAAGGGACCATACACAGCATTCCCTGTTCACCTCCAGCTGGGGACCTTTGCATTTCATTCCTCATCTCTCCTTCCTGTCATCTATCTACTATAAAAAAAAATCCATAAGGTGCCCCAAAAATTTAGATGAACATGTGACCTTTATGGTCCGATTATTGCATTCTTTCTCCGTAGAGAAGCATGAAACCTAATGGAGCACACGTGTCCTGGCATCCTAATAGGATGACTTTGTCCAATGTCACATTTAACAATTCCAGGTTAAAGGAGGAGCTGTAACTAATCATTGATTTTGCCGATTAATCCCCTCATTATTTTCTCAATTTCTCAACAAGTCACAGTCTATAAAAAGACAATAAATAGTGAAAGATGCTTTTTTGACCACTCAATAGCTGTAACATTAATAAACTTCAAGTCTCTTCTTTCTTTCAGTTTTTGTAACCTGGTCTTCAAGGTCATCGTCCATTCGGCGATATTTTTATCGATTCTACCTCCATCCTTCCATCCAGCTAAGGTCATTTATGAACTCTATCCCCAGACCACACAGTCCAATCCATTAGCCCGAGGTAAGAAACTAAACAAGCAGCTCTGATTGCAGAAAAAGGCAGCAAGAGAATAAGATGAGAGAGAGGGGATCAGGCAGATAGGTAGCGAGAGGAAAGCATGGAGAATCCATTCAGCATCCCATCACTTTGAGATGTTCCCCTTGTGAAGAGCTTTCAAAGCATTGCGAAGCAGCAAGAGAAGAGATCTCACAGGAATTCTACTTACATTCTGTCTGTCTCACACTCTGTCTCGTCCGTTTCATCTCTGCCTCGCTCCCCCTTTGCTCTCTACTCCCTTTTTCTCCTTTTCTATATTTGTCTTTGACAAAGTCTTTGCTATGTCTGTTCTGCTGAGGTTTGCGGCGCCAAGAGACAGAATGACAAAGAGGAGTCAGAGTCTGCAGACGCTGCATTCAGCTGAGGTACCGTGAAAGAGTTGGTCCCAAAAAAGCCACGCCGCTTTCCCCCGCTGATTACCATTCAACTTGTTTCAGTAGAAGAAGCATGGCGCACTTAATATCTTTAATGGACTTAAAACTCACATAAACATTCTCTAAATACAAATCTCTGAATGTAAAAATAGTTAGGGATGTATACTTACATATACTCCCGGTAAAAGCAATGATCGCTTCATGATGTTGGGCCCATTTAGCTCATAAAACTCCCTCTTGTGTTGTTATTTTCATTGTGACTCTTTTCGTAGCAACAGCTACATTTCATCAAATCTGTATTTGAAGTTGCAGCTACCTTTTGTAGTGCCAACAACAAACACGTGGGGAACCAGACCCTGAGAGCAGCATGAAGCTGGATTACTGAGGTAGAGTCACATCAACTGACTCATCATAAAGGCCTGTCGCATACAACAAAGCTTCAAACTCCCTGTTTGCTGCTGGAGCTGAGAGATGTTGTACATGAAATGCCTGAGGAGCAAAACAATCCTCCCTACAAGCGAGCACGTCACATCACACAGTGGAAAGACTGCCTGAAGTTAAAGGCGGAGTAAGCAATTGTAATCTAATATGCTTTTTGTCCAATTCAGTCAATATCCTCAAGGTCCACTAGCTGTCCGTTCTGTGTGTGATCTGGTGTTTCTACACAACCTTGGTTCTGTGAATGGAAAATACACAAAGTGGCTAGGACCAAGACACACACAGCTATTCCAATTTAAGGATCTACCTTTCCGTCACTGCCAAGCTGTGTGCTGACTGCAGGCGAGAGACCGGAAGCGACGTTGAGGCGAGTGCACGGAAGGAACGTCTACTGGCGGTGGTGTGTTGTGAAGAACGAGAGACGGCCGAAGAACAGCCAAAGAGGAGATGACCAGACGAATAAAATTTGAAAAAGAAGTGCTATGATCAGGCAAGGGCGAAGAGCCAAGTTATCATTGGTGAGACTTTCCAGCGGTGGAGACAGTGAATTGGACTTATCCACTGGGACTGGCTCGCACCCCTAATGACAGGCACACAGAGAGGGTCAGTAAAAACTTTACAAATGGAAGTTGTGATGGTCCACTGACCCTCTGCTGTAGCCACAGTTTACTGTCTCGGTGTTTGCTATGAATCATGGGTTTTTTTTGTACAATGTTACAACCAAAGGTTTAATAGCCCCGAAGACCTAAAAACACAAGTTTGCCAGCACAGTTGGATTTATTTGGTTGGACACATAATTTGAAATGTTATGTCAGGTAATGTCACCTTCTTTGCTAGCTTAGCTACAAACCTACAATCCTCTTTTCTGTCACTGTTAGCAATGTATGTACATGAATTTGGAGTGTGGCGCTTCTGTTTGGCTGTTGAGTTCAAACAGTCTTTCTTCAGCATGGCTCACTCCACCTTTAAATGTGTGAGTATCATTCAGTTTCTATCATTTCTTTAAATATGTTATTGCTGGAGGAGGGAATAATAAAACTTTTTGCAAAATGAATGTAGCTTTAGCAGTGATTCAATGCCTATGTTTTGCAGAATGCGCACAAGGGTCCCCTTCATCAAATATATATATAAAGTCTATACTGTATGTATATAGGTGTAAAATAAGTTTCTTCTGTTTTATGACATTACAAACTAGCGAGTAGGGGAGCAAAGATTACCTACCAATAATGGCTGGCTCTGTCTGTCTGGCAAGATCACTGCTAATATTGTAGACAGAGAAGAAGCTACATTTCTCTACAACACAGCCAGCAAAATTATGCCTTAAACCCTAGTCCGAAAACAACTTTTCCTTTATTCTTTTCAGCAGGCAGCTGTTTTATTAACCTCTTCAGTTTTTCCTTCCACAAAGACATGTACTTCAGATGAATTGGAAACTCTGAACTGACTGCAGGTGAATGTGGTTAATTGCCTATAATGTGCAATAGACTTGTGACCATGTCTCTTGCTCACAGAGTGCTGGGACAAACTCCAGCTCCTTACAACCCTGGGGGCAGTAGTGGATGTGACAAAGAATGGATCAAAATGAAAGTGTATGGAGGTTAAATTACACTAACTTAATGACTGAGGGAAAATGTGGAAAATGAAGCAGCACCAATAGTTTAAAGGTCCGATTCACTGAAACTACAGAAACATGTCTTCACTTACCTCCAGGCTACCTCTGTCATTAAAATGGTTTGATTTTCTGTGTCCAGGTTTTGAGATTGTCTGAATTCTGCCTCCACCCCAACACATTAAAGGTGAATGGAATTCTGTTTGTGAAGCTCTCATCCCCCAGAAAATGAAATTTGAAAAAATTCTGTTTTACTCTGGATAATCCACAGAACACGCTGTTAACTGTTTTCATGGGGACAATTTCTTTGATGGAAAGAAGTCTTCTGTTTTCATGTGTTTGAAACGTAACGCAAATGTTGACTCTTTTTTCACGGGGAGAAATTTAACTAAAGAATGTACAATAATAAAACAGAAATGAACAAATCTTGACGCACCCCAGGGTGCCAGTGCCACAGCACCCACTTTGGGAATCATTGTGCTGTAGCGAGGGTTTTCAAACTGTGAGGCATGACAGAGAGCTGCAGGGAAAGAGAGAGAGATGTGAGGCAAAGATACTGTGAGGGGTGAAAGGGTCTAAAAACAACAGGAAATTAACTATCATAGATTGATCCAGTGATTTGGCCTTTTTATTGACACGGGCAGCAGCTGGAGCTGCAGCACTGCCTGTAACGCACAGCTCATGGAGGATTTCAAAATAAATTCAACACCATTAGCAGTCTTTCTCATAGTCACAACTTCAGTCTGTCTGAACAGTCAGTCTGAACACACAGACATGACACACATATTTTTAGATTGAGTGAGACTT